TATTTAATATTAAAAAAAGAAATTTTTCCACGCACATTGCAAAAGCTGAGTTATCGAAAAATTAATTTTCGCAAAATAGTTTTAGGTTTTCATATTTTGCATGCCTCAACAGTTTTTGTATCAAAATTTTTGAACACCTCCTTACTTTTTTCTCACACCCCTAAATGAGTGTTTGTGAGTGTTTGCAAACTGTCGCACCTTACTCTATCTACATATATATGTATTTATGTATGTTTATACTATTGTTCTATTCTCCTGATACTAATTTTTATTTTGTTTCATTTTTGGTTTTCACTTTGCATTTTTAAAAACCAAACCAATTTTCTAAACGAAAAAAATCATACAAAAATATTTCGAAACATACTATCTACTAAAAACTCAAACAAAAACTAAATTAAAAAGGCTAAAATATTTGTTGAACTGGGTCAAAGTGTTGATATAACGGTATTCGATATGGATAATGGCAGAGATGATGAGCGATTGGGCAGGTAAGTCAACAAAACGCATTCAAATGAAAAAATAATCATTAATAAATAAATGGAATGAAACAAATTAAAGCAATAAATACCTAAAATGTGCAAGATTAATTTACGGAAATAATTTTAAAAAAATATTGATTAAAAAAAATTATTGTAAAGAAAGCAAATAAAATGAAAATAAATTCTATAGAAATAAAAAAAAATTAAATTCAAATTATAAAAAGATAAATTTTTGTAAATAGAAGCAAATAAAATGAAATAATTTTAATTCTACAGAAATGAAAAAAATAATAATAAAAAATAAATTAATATTATATACATAAATGTGAATAATTTTTTTATAAAAAATAAAGCACATTAAACGGAAAAACTATAACTAAAAATTAAAAAAAAAAATTACAAAATCTACTCACAACTCATTCAACTTCACGCATTTTTATTAAAATAAAACTCACTTTAGCACAATAAACATACGTACATATCATACTCAAAACATATACCATTATTACCATACCACCCATATCCCATTGGCTCCACAAACACCCACACATGTAAGTCGATGTGTCGATGTGTGTTTACCGTTATTAACGTGAGTAGTTCGCTAGCTTGCTTTAGCGCTAAGTCACTGTGCGTGTTTTTAATTTTATTTATTTTTACACTTCAATTAAAGAATTTCCATGCCTCTTCACCGAAAACTACCGTAAACAGTCTTTGCATGCCGTTTTCAAACACTTTTTGTACAAAACTCCGTTACCTTTTGTGTTTGGTGTCACTTCAACTCTAATTAACACGAAGTACCTACGCGTATATGCCAACGAAGTGGCACTATAAAGCGTGCCCCCGAGAAAAATGCTTCCAACTTTATGCCATATTTACACGAACATATTTTTTTGTAGGCCCCTGCTTTTGCTGACGGCACTTTGGATCTGAAGGCCGTTTTTCATCTGTGGGATTCAGATATTCCCGGTAGTCCGAATGATGATTTTCTGGGCAGGTTTGCTAATCGCCTTTAWTAGAAATTTGTTTTATGTTGTTTGCGTTACTTTCGTTATACCGTTATTCCGTTRTTTGCTATATTTTGATTTCGTTTACTGTGCTTCTTATTTTCTTGGTTCCAAAATAGCTAAATGTTCCTTACTAACCAGTTTTTGTATAAACAAGCTTTTTATGCTGAGTTTTTTAAGTTTTTGTTTTATAAAATTGATTTCGTTTTGTTAAACTTAACCATGTTTTATTCAAATATTCCGTTATTATTATAAAATATTATTGTTTTAAGTCAGGCGTTGATAGATCTTACCACATTAATCGGCGTTTTGTGATACCTTAAACAATACGGTACACTATGACTTCAGAAATTTTAACGGGACTTTTCGAAACTAGAGAAGAGTTATAAAAAAAATCGATGATAAATATAGCAGGCCAATGAATGAATGCTAAAAAAACAACTGACAGGTGCTCAGTATTTTCTCTTTTCATCAGTCCCCTTGTATTTATTTAAATGCTTTCTCCATAGATAAGRTAGATACACACACTGCTCCAAATGACAGCAGAAGCGTTTGGCAGAGGTAAGATAATMKCTTCCCAACGGATGAAGKACCTAAGTGGCCACTGACCGTTCTCCCAAGGGATAGCATTACCAAAAGCGTTAACTTCACTAGGAAGTTTAATATTACACTCAGCAGTAAGACTGAATGGAAYGATCGATMCACGYTCGAGCTACTGCTAGGRGACAGTACAATCATGTCCTACACCGACGGCTCGAAATTGTCGGCGGGAATTGGCGCAGTAGTCGACGGACCACACACAAAACTCTCGATACCTATAGGTAGCTTACCGAGCATATTCCAAGCAGAGAATCAAAGTGATTTCAGATCAAATCGCTATTGATGCAGAAGTGCATAGAACGACTGAATAGTCTATCAGATCGTATCCAAGTGCACCTTATTTGGGTGCCGGATCGCTATGGTATAACCGGAATGAACTGGCTGATGAGCTTGGCCACTTACAACCTTACAAATTTTAAATTTGTAATCAACCTCCCAAGGGAAAAAGTCTGACTACTTGTAAACTCAAGAAGCACTTATATAACTTGAGCGTAGCTTGTTTCCCGAATTGCCGGTTCTGCGACTTGAAGTCTGAAACTCCAGAACACCGGCTAATTGACTGCACAGCTGTCTGTTGACGCAGGATAAAGGTTCTTGGATCCAAATTGGGATCACACCGTCTCAATAGGGCTAGGTGACCTCTTTAAAGTTCGTAGCACAAAATACTTTCCTTGGATCCACACTCAGACCAGAATTAATTCTAAATTTTGGAAATTGGGAGAACTAGACTCATTAAATTTCTCACTTTCGCCGCTGTAGCCACGAAAATTGGGAGTATGACTTGACTAACCACTATGGCCAGAATCTCGAACAAATATTTTGTAGTAAACTGTCTTCAATTTAAACGGTTTACATAGAAACTAAAATAGATCGACATTGCGACTAAATTTTTGAACAAGGCGAATTCTTCCAACAGATAAGTCATCGAAAATGTAGGTCATATTTTGTTTCAGAACACGGCTATATAAATATCTATACATTACATAAATTGGACGAATTTTCAGGGTAAGGTTTCTAAACTCCATTGCCTTTAGAAGTCATATTTACTTAAGTATAAGATTCTAAAAGTGGTCTGAGGAATACACTTAAGTTTAAATCTTTTGACACTGTTCAAACACTGGTTTGACTGGTTTCTGACTTAGCTAAAAACACATTCTTCCATCAATCTCCTGTCTTCAAACAAACACACTACAAATAAACCCAGCAAACCATATATATATGTATTTAGCATGACATCCGACCTTTCTGTGCCTAAGCTCGAACCCAAAATTGCATGAATTTGTATAATAAAGTAAAAAAACAAACAAACTCAATCCTACACTATGTAACTAAGCACATGTTCGTTTGCCCGCAGTAGTCAAAGCAATGAAAGTAATAAACAAAAATACACTCTTTAATTTTGGTTGAGTTCTTTGCTGGCTAAACTTTGTATGAAATTTTTATTTTATACTCATTTAATTATGTAAATGGGCGTCACAAGTAGCAGGTAGAGGTTGGTAGAGCAATTGCAAATATTGTTAGTTATATTTTTAACGGTATCGGTATACTTGTGTATAATGGTACATGCAATATTGTGTTTAGACATTGTAAAAGCAATTTAGCGAAATATATTAAAAGTTTTTATTTGGCTTTTGTTCTTGTATGCCCCTCTCTCTCTCTCTTATTTCTCTCTTGCTCTCTCCAACCACGTAAAATTATGCCACCAACCGTAATTATAACCACTCCATCACCCTCAACTACCGAACGAGCAGGCTGTGGTTGAGGTGACGCAACATACCTTCTTGGTGTTTAGACTGTATGATTGGGATCGCACCGGCGATGATGAATCACTTGGCAGGTTGGCAATTACTTATGCACCTAAACGCTCTCTAAGTAATTTATAACGTTAGATTTCACAATAGAAGCGCATAACTCAAAATATTACAAAATTATGTTAGTTCATTAGTGTTTTAATTTGTTTAATGAATTTCAGTTGGTTTTCGAAAATTTTGTTATTACTTTTATTTCAATGATTTTGCGTATAAGAATATAACATAACCTGAACTGAAAATGATATGCATTCTCATTATTCTTTCAAAACTGCTTGCTCATTCTTAAGTTAATATATTTCTCTCTATTAGCAATCTTCTCTAGCCATTTCATTAATTTCCCTCCTTTGAATCCATCTTCATTTCCACCGCTTTCTTAGGGTGCCCACAATGCAAGCAACGCTTCGTTGTACAATTCTTCTCAGTTGGCACATTTCGTGAGACACGTGGCGGCTCCCATGGCATACGTGTTTCGGGAATGACCTTGAAATAAAGTTAGAATAAATTTATAAATGTTGAAGAAAGCGATAGATTAGATTAGGTTGTTTAAAAGGGCGTTCCTAAGTAGAATCTCACTTAGACAGCTTAAAACCGCCGGTCCTTTGTGGTACCTATAATGATAAATAAAGTATTGGGTAGTCGAAAAAGTATTTTCGTATTTTATCAATAGACGTCGAAGTTGAAAAAAAAGTTACGGCTGTTCAAAAACGGAGGAATTCGCTATATTTTTTTTATAAAAAAGGGAAGAATGTCACGCAAGCCACCAAAGATATTTGTGAAGTTTAGCACAACAATGGTTCGCTCGCTTCCGTTCTGGAAATTTCGATGTGAAAAATGCACCTCGCTCCGGTCGACCTATCGTTGAAAAAGTCGATGAAATTATGGAAAATTTCACCAGGGCCACCACATAAGCAGCCATGACATCGCTAAAGAACTTAACATTCACCATCAAACGGTTTAGAACCGTTTAAGACATTTATTGGACCGAATTAACAGTAGACGACAAGTGGATCAAATACCACAATGATGATGGTCCAAGTGTGGTGAAGCTTACAAAAGGGTCGCAATGTCAGCATTGACGCCACGAAAGGTTATGCTGAGTATTTGGTGGGATTGGATAGTGAATCATTCACTATGAGTTGCTCCAGCCTGGTCAAACGATTGATTCTACATTTTACTGTGAATAACTGATGAGATTGAAGCAAGCAATCGAAAATACGGCCAAAACAGCTTGACTTCCTTCAGGATAACGCTAGATCACACACATTTTTGATGACTCGGTAAAAACTGCTAGAGCTTGGCTGGGAGGTTTTGATGCATTCACCATACAGCTCTGGCAGAACTTCCTTAACGGAGTAAAGTAGGCTTCAAGAGAAGCTTGTGAAAATTACTTGTAGTTTTTCGCCGATAAACCAGAAAAGTTTTACACTGTTGGAATAATGTCTCTAGCGGAAAAATGGCAAAAAGTGGTCGACCGAAATAGTACATAATTGGTTCATTAAAGTTCATTATAAATATAAAAAAAATAAATTGAAGTTTGATTAGAAATACGAAACGATTTTTTCGGCCCAATATTTTAAGGGTCAGAATGTTCGAACTTAATGAAAAAAAAAGATTTTACATCGCTTTGCAATCCAAGTGCGCTTTAGAAGCTTTATGCTCACACTGATAGAAATCTTATATTAAGTCGTTCAATTTTTACCTCATATAATTGTTTTTAGAAAAGTTCACACAAGGCTTAGACCTTCCGATTTTTGACTTTTTCAATTACAAAATAGCAATCCTGCTTCAGCTTCAAAGTTCTTCTACAATCTTATCTTATATTTTTTCCACTCACCACTTGCGTACGCTCTGGTCTACCGCTACAAGTTGGGCATCGATGCGCTAATTTCGAATTCGGTGACTTCAAAGCACTTGGCGGTTTCGTTGCAAGTTCTGGCGATGTTGGTCCATAGATGGTAATCAGTTTCGGTAGACTCGAATAAGGGCGTGTTTCAAATAGTTTTTCGCGATTTAAGAAACTGCACAAAGAAAGTGGAACTAGTATATGGAAATCTCATACAAATTGGAAAATATAAAAGCTCACATTTGAAAGTCCTACACTACAAAACCGCTACTCACTTGGGTCGCGGTGCCAACCACAAATCCGACATACGCTTCGTCTTCATAATATCACCCAATTTTTGCAAAAGTCGCACATTCTCCACCTCAATGCGTTGCAGGCGCTCCCTCTCGTTTTGCACCTTCTTCGGCTTGAGTATGACGTGCGAATAAATGGGGGGCGCACGCATATCGATGACCGGTTTGGCTGAACGGAGATTGGCACGATGATGCTCGTAACGTTGTTGAGCCCAAGGCAAGTTCAAAAGCTTATCGCGTCGTGAAATCATTACGAAGTGTTGTTTTTGTTGAGTCTTGAGATGAAGTACGTTGTTGTGGTTATGTTGACACGATAGATTAAGTGTCTCTTAACACCCTAAATGTTGACGTGTTTGCTGTGTAGTAAATCAACTGTTTGTAGAATATCTTAACTTAGTATTAGCTGTAGACACTTATTAAAGATATTTGCGCTTAAAAGCTTGTTTCTGCTGTTGCTCAGGTGGTTTGTTGCTTTGTCTCTACGGGCAGGTATCTAGGGCCTTTGATGTATGTATGTATTTAAAGTAGTCGCTAAGTCCACTAAGTGAAGTGTGCGTGTGTGACATTTTGTATGCAAAGCGCTACCTGGAAACCAGTGTCAAGGACACCAGATTGGTGTTTGTTAATGGTTTTGCACTGAATATACATATGTATGTATGTATGCTGCTTCAAATCAATCATAAACGTAAGATAATATTTTTAAATTTATTTATAAAGTGAGTGGTAACATTCCTTGAGTACCTGATTTATAGAAGTATTGCTTTACCTAGTGACATTCATCTCGGCATACACGCATATACATAGTTTTCCCGTGATTCGTTCGCTAGCTATACCTAGCGGACTCATCCCTTAAAGGACGAACACACTACAACATCGCAGCAATTGCATCGGTGCATACATTTTTCACGCACTTCTTCGTTGAACTGCTGTAATTCTCATGTGCTTTTTTGTTATGAGATTAATATAAGTATACACTAAAATATTTAAAAATTTGTTCTTGCTTCGGCAGAACATATACTAAAATTGGAACGATACAGAGAAGATTAGCATGGCCCCTGCGCAAGGATGACACGCAAAATCGTGAAGCGTTCCACATTTTTTTGACAAAACAAGCTTACGAATTACTTAAGATAATACCTTAAATAAAGGTAAATAAAAAATCGGGGAAAAAACCATCTTACCTGACAATTTTTCGAAAATAAATCTGATTTTTTAAATTAATTTTTTTTTTTTTCGAAAAAGAAAGCAATTTTGTCTTTATGACTGTGCTTATAGTGTGATTAATTTAGAAGATCTCTTCAACTGCTTAAACAATTTTACCGTGAACGTACTATATCCAGGTTCAAAGGAAGACAACGCTCTCAGATGGCTTTATATGGGTGTTCCCCAGAAATATTCTACAAAAGAATTTATTCATTATTGGCCTTGACAATGCTCAGCTGTTTAAGGATATGAGTACCTTCTTGTTTTTATGCGCCTGTAGTTCTTTCCTTTCGCTGTTTGGCGGCAATTAGAGATTCCAAGTGTAAATAATTCCCCGCTAACTAATACGACTGTGTAAACTGATGTTGAGCAATACCAAAAACTTCATCGGGATCGGGAAGGACCTCTCCGAGCCGTTCGAGACCAAACGAGGTTGCAGATAATGCGACTCCCTTTCGTGCGACTTTTTCAATCTACTCTTGGAGAAAATACTTCGAGCTGCAAAACTATATAAAAAAGGTACCATCTTCTATAAGAGTGTACAGCTGCTGGCGTACGCCTTCTCCAACAGATCTCTCCTCCTCCTCTGCTTCCCCTGGCGGATACTGCGTCGAATTTTCTCAGAGCTCTCAACAGTGACGGGGGAGCCAAATCACGCGTGCGACGACGGTTTGTTTAATGACAGGAGATATTTCGTCTTGCCCCCGTATACTACTAGACCCATTTGTTTCGCTTCTTTGTCCAACCTGGAGAAAGCAGAACTAATGGCGCGGTTGTTATGGCCAATGATATCGATGTCATAGCAGTTGTATATATCGCATTAAAATTCAATGACTAGTAATAGTAAGACCCCGTCTAGTTTTAAAAGATCGAATTGATAACTTCAGCATGTGATTCAAAGGGTCTATTTTAACTTTGGCTGTTTTCTAATGTGGTACAGAGAGACATTCGCAGATTAAACGGAGTTTTTTGCTCTGCGCGATTACTATGCTGACGAATTCTGTCATGTGATTTAGATTGTGGATACAATTTTTCTTATTTTATATAAAGCAGGAGTTCTGATATCATCCTTTTCTCTCTCTTTTCTTCTTTTCATTAGTAGTGTTATTTACGTCTCGGGTTCCAAACCAAGCGCACAACCCTGAGGAGGGATGATTCGCCTTCTCACTTTAGCTCACCTTCAAATTGGATGTTTCTTCGCTACGCAGAATATACTTAGTCTAAGACCGGACGTCGTAAGCTGCTTAAACCATATGTAAACGAATCATTTCTGGCCACTTCCAAGTGAATGGCACTCAAATAACTTTCCTCACTTTTTTGAACTTCCACACATGGTCCCACTCTCTCTGGAGTTAACTTTTATTTCGAAAACTAACTACAATGAGCCCAAACTATCTTTTCCTTCATTAAGAACATTTTTTGTGCGAGTTTTATTGTTTTTAACACGATTTGTTCGATTTTTAGAATTCATTTAAAACTTTTAAAATTTATTTATAGTTGACACTAATATTTTGTATAACTTCTAGAGCCACCATTGAGATTTTCAATGTGATCAAGCGCGGCATAGTAGATACGGTAAATACATTAACAAATAGTACCTGGTTCCTGTAGTTTTTCAACACTATTTATTTATACAGTGGCTGACATTGGAAGACGCCAAACATGGTCTCTTACATGTGCGCATGCAATGGTATAAATTGACAGCCGATCCCAACGATCTACAGGCGGCGATATTGGAAACCCAACAGTTGCGCGTAACTTCCATGAGCACTGCACTGCTGACTGTCTTCATCGATTCTGCCAAGAATTTGAAGGTATTAGTAACAGGTATAATTTTATTCAAATATATATCTTCTATACTACAATGCAATAGCAAGCACGCACCAGCTCCAAACCAGATCCTTACCTAATTGCCATGGTTGGCAAACATAAAGAGCAAACTGCCATGATTATGCGTGATGATTCGCCGGTGTGGGAGCAGGGCTTCACGTTTCTGGTGAGCAATCCGGAAAACGAGTCGCTACAAATACGCATTGTTGATCAGAAAACCGGCAATGATATTGGCCAGTACACTTATCCGCTAAATCTATTGCTACCCAAAAAGAATATGGAGTTGGTGTCACAACCTTTTCAACTGCAGAAATCTGGACCCGAATCGAAATTGATTATGTCGCTGTCGCTGCGCATACTCAAGCCGGCCGAGATACTAGAGGAGACTGAACAGAATACTGGTTCACCAGACTCCTCAGCAGCGCTAACACGTTCGAGCTCGCTAAAAACGCCCACGCAGGAAAGCGCTAAGGTAAATATACTTACATATATTAAAAAATTTACGCGATATTTGATAGACATGTCTTTGTATTTTTTCCACACTTAGGATCTGCAATCACAAACTAGTCGCGTTTCGATTGAATCGCCCATTGCCGAGGAGCAGGTCACAACAATGAATGCCTCACCCGCTGCCACACCTTATTCAGCTGCCCTCGAGTCGGGCGAAGCGGTGCTTACCCATCGTATGCCCGATATGACCAGCTCGGCCGGTGAATTTGGTCTCGGTCGCATACAACTTTCCATACGCTATAGTGTACAACGTCAAAAACTCGCCGTTACGGTGCATAAAATCATGTATCTGCCATTACGTGATCCATCTAGCATACCGGATCCCTATGTAAAACTCTATCTACTGCCAGGTCGTAGCAAAGAATCGAAACGCAAAACAATGGTGATCAAGGACAATTGCAATCCCGTTTATGAGGCGACATTTGAGTATCTAATTTCGACCGCTGAACTGGCACAAACCGAACTGGAGGTGACGGTGTGCTCCCAAAAAGGCTTCCTCTATGGCGGCAGTCCCATTATGGGCATGGTAAGTCGATATGGCAGTATCTGGTAGTAAAAAACTCAAATATTTTTTTTTTTTCAGCTTAAAATTCCTCTTAATGATTCAGAGATATCCAGTAATGGAATAAACTCATGGATGGATCTGCAGCCGGAGATAAAACACGATTAAGCGCAATGTTTAGCGCAAATTCTGCTTTTGTAGCGGCAATGTGTTTGGAGTTATCGAGTTTGCGGTGTCGCTACCAGGTTATCGCCGCTCTGTAATGTGCTTCAGGGTCCACCTTTAAGCTGAACAATTGCTATATATACCTCCCTAAACTTATTCTGTCGATTTTTTTACATAAAAATTCGATGTAGATACTCTTTCGGTTATGCTGTCTGTAGTGCCTATTGTATGAAAAAATTTATATAGATATGAATATAATTTAACACACAGGAATGCATAGGTCTTTCGAAGATCAACCTGTAAAACAAGATAATCACATTTAAAAAACAAAAACATTATTTCTCGTAGTGTACTTTAATTATTTATAAATGAAAAAATTTTAAACTAATATGCATTTAAAAAAAAGTATAAATAAAAATGGTTTTAAAAAAGTTTTTTTTTTAATAAAAACTATTACATAAAATCTTTTCACCTTTTATTTATTTAATTTCCACAATAATCTCGCTAAAGTCATTATTTTTTATTATTATTCGAAAAATATAATATTATTTTAATAATTCTTAAATTAAAAAAAAAAAAATTTCATATTTTGTAAACTATATTTAAACGATACACGTAAATATTCAACTCCTATTATTGCTCTGAGTATTAATTGTTTAATTAATTATTTGCTCTATCAATGTCTAACCTCACTAAAATTTAATTATTTTTTACAAATATACACTACTATGTGCCTTCTTCACTACTGCGCTGTTGAGCACAATCTCTTGTGTCTACATACTAAATAAATGCATCAAATAAATATGTATGTATTCGCAAAACTTTCAGAAAATAATGTTTTAAATGTTTGTTACTGAAATTAAATAAAAATTTAAATAACTGGAGATAATTGTGAACGAAAATTAATAGTGGATGTAAGAAAAATAAATTAATAAATAAAATTATTTAAAAATGTGTATGTTTGAATAAAAATGTTTAAAGTTTTGATTTTTATTTTTTTTTTTCCTAATGTATATTATGTACATTTAAGAATACACATTACAATACAATTGAAGAGTTTCGGAGGTCGTTGACCAACATTACTCGAAAACGGCTAAACCGATTAGTCTCAAATTTTAAGACGAGCTTCTTAAATATAATTTTTTAGGAATTAATTGAAGATTTTTTCTCTCCGATTAAACATTTTTTTTTTTTTTTTAACAATTTAAGACCGAAATTTTGGTAAAAAATCAATGTTTTTTTTTTGAGAAACCGCCATTTTGTTCAAAAATATTATTTAGCTGTTCCTTTCGATTTGCGTTACTAGATTAATTTAATGAAATCTGTTTTTTTTTTTTTTAATTTCAAAGGATCCAGTTAAGCGATATAGTGGTCACCACAAAACTTCTTTTTTGAGAATAGCTACCCAGATCAGAAGCAGTCTTTTTATGAAACTTTCCTCATATTTTCTTTCATAATTTTAGTGCTGGTTCCACAACGGATGAGCTTACCCACAGCATTGAAATTATTAAGCTTTGAAACCCATACACATACAATACAGGTACATACGTCGACAATGTTAGTAGAAGAAGATGCGGCAACACTTTAGTTTCGGAACCCACGATTATTTAACAATAATTTTCAATAAGCGACATGGCAAACATTCTCTGAAAAAAAAGGCTTTCATAATTCCCTAGGCATTGAAACTAAAAGCAATCCAAAGGACATGGAATATCCCTGAAAATCACAAAACTTTAGCCTCAAGGACAATCAAGGAGGTCTCTGTATATGCAGACGTCACCTTGGCACATTCTCCAAAACACTTTACTACATATATCGAATAAACAAACATATAAAACCAACAAATTAATTGAAGGGTCTACGAATAAGATCGACATAATGTTAAAATGTCCTAATAAAATACTCAAAGTTGGTCAAAAATGGTTATGTTTGTTTTCTTTTCTTTTTTTTATTTTGCAGCATATCAGGTGGAATTTCATCTATAGGGCATTCAGCTTTCGAGCTTTGCTGGTTGATTGGCGTAAACCTTTGATTTAGCTACTTGGATTACCCGTTATAATCACCTCTGCGTTGCACAACTGTTGTTTACGACAGGCATAACAACTGTTCCCTAGTGTAAGTGTTCTCAAGCACTCAGTCACATTTGTCAGCGCACTGAACGTGCGATTTCGTTCGCTGCCCTGTAGTTTGCAATTCGCATGTGCTTTTTTGGTATTAAGTTTGTACAAATACCGTAATATAAGTCTTACAATTGTTCTTGCTTCGGCAGAACATATACTAAAATTGGAACGATACAGAGAAGATTAGCATGGCCCCTGCGCAAGGATGACACGCAAAATCGTGAAGCGTTCCACATTTTTTTGTAAAATTTTTGTTTAACTTTCTGTGTATTATAATATTTTTCATATGTGCGTTATCATTTTATTTTTTTTTTTTAGACTCTGTAATGTTAATACACATAAAAATGAAACTGTTAAGTTTAGGGAATATTTTAGTTTCTTGAATATATATATATTTCTATAGAAAACTCTTCAAACAATATATAGCGATGCTTTTTGTATATAATTTTTTCAAAAAATTTTAAAAATGTTTGCTTTTTATATAAAAGTTTCAAGATTATTTAAAAAATATTTGTTTTTTGTACAGAAAATGTCTAGCTAATTTGAAAAATTTTTGCTTTTTATATAGAATATTTCCAGAAACTTTTAAAAATGTTTGCTTTTTGCATAAAAAGTTTCAAGATGGTTGAAAAATGTTTGCTTTTTGTATAGAATTTTTGCAGAAAATATAAAAATTCAGAAAATTTTAAAAATGTTTTCTTTTTACATAAAAGTTTCAAGATTATTTGAAAAATTTTTGTTTTTTGTACAGAAAATTTCTTGCTAATTTGAAAAATTTTTGCTTTTTATATAGAATATTTCCAGAAACTTTTAAAAATGTTTGCTTTTTGCATAAAAAGTTTCAAGATGGTTGAAAAATGTTTGCTTTTTGTATAGAATTTTTGCAGAAAATATAAAAATTCAGAAAATTTTAAAAATGTTTTCTTTTTACATAAAAGTTTCAAGATTATTTGAAAAATTTTTGTTTTTTGTACAGAAAATTTCTTGCTAATTTGAAAAATTTTTGCTTTTTATATAGAATATTTCCAGAAACTTTTAAAAATGTTTGCTTTTTGCATAAAAAGTTTCTAGCTAATTTGAAAAATGTTTGCTTTTTATATAGAATTTTTGAAAAGCGTTTGCTTTTTGTAGAGAATATTTCTAGAACTTTGAAAATTTTAATTTTTTTGAAATACATTGCGATCACAAATTTTTTCAAAGAAAATAATGCCAGTTTAAATAAAAATGCCTTTTAAGTTTTTCGTTTGTATCTTTTACTTTTTTATTTGTTACTTGTTTAGCTTTACAATTCTTATCATCAATACATCAAACACCATGAAATATTTAAATGTGTTTCAATATCCACCTAGAATGTTTTAATTACATACATACATATATGTTTGCGTATATGAAATTACATATATATACTTATTAATATGTTTGTATGTTTATATAAATATATCTTTTAATGATTTTTAAGCATTATTCGTTATAACTGTTTATACTATATTTATATGACAAAGCACATTATCAAATTGGCTGCTTTCTATTTTGTAGCGTAGAAAATTTAAGAAAAAAATTAAAATAAGTTATTTCTAGTGATGCCATAGATTTAGAAAAAATGCTTATATGAAATATTAGTAATATGAATTTTTGTGCTTGCAAACGTAATTTGATGGACTGAATACATACATATGAATACATGAATAAGCTTAAAGCTGTATTAATAATAATTTTTTTCGCAATTTAGTTTTTATTTAAATTATTTTGTATTCCATTTCTGAAATTAGTTTCTTAAAAATAAATTCGTAAAATACTTATTATTTTTTAATCTTGGAAATTTGTAATTTTTAACACATTTTTTGCTTTTTAAGTATTGTTGTTGCAGTTGCTTATAAAAAAGTTATTTATCAGCTGAACTTTAACTGTAATTATTTTCCAAATAAATATATCCTAAATTTCTAAAAAATTTTATTCGTAAAGCATTTCGCATTTTTAGTTGTTATTTTTTTTGTACCACAGTTTTCAAATATTTTTTCATTGCGTACAATATCTTTGTAATTATACAAAAACTTTCTGTAATTGAACAAACGCTTTCATATATATAATATATTTCTGAAATGAAACACAGTTTATGTTTGTCTTACTTAGGTTTGAACCCGTATTTTCACAGAGTTTTGCGTTTCAAATATAGCATAGTTTTTTTTAACTAAAATACTTTTTCACCAAATTCTTAATTTAATTTTTTTTATTCGTTAGAGAATTTTTTGAATTTTGTTTTAGAGCATACAAACAAAAAGTAATAATTTTTAGTTTTGAAATTAAATTAAATACTAAAACTTAATTTGGCAAAGTTTTTAATTATTTTCGAATACTTCTGGGGTTTTTTGTAAAACCATTAAAAATT